TTTTTCAGCACCACATAAGCAGGAAAAGCCAGAAGTGGCACTGTCGCTCAAGTGGTAGAGGGCTTGCCTTGAGCTGAAGAGCTGAGGGACATCGCCCAGGCCCAGCGTTCATGCCCCACAACCAACAAAAAGAAAAAAAAAAGACAAAAATGTGTTCCAAACCTGGTTTCACTGTTGGCAAAGAACCATCTAGGGCTTGCTCAGTGCCTTGGGGCCCACACTCCACAGCCATGCAGCAGGTCTGTGCCCTGCATCAGCCCCGACCTCTCAGAGCAGAGTCACCTCTCCCGGGACAGCACCCAGCTTTGGCTCCATTCCTTCAGCACGGCTGGCACCCACAGAGCCATTTCCAGGAGCATTTCAGAGCCTGTGCTTGAGAATCTTCTTCTCACGAGGGGAGAACTTGAACACCTCCCTGCCCTCAGCTTCAGGGGCCTCTGCAAACCTAGATCAGCAATTCCACACCATCAAGCTGCTGTGGGTGTTCATCTGGATAACTTGTGAAGAGCACTTAGCTCCGCTTGGCCATTACTGTGTTCTTTTATGACAAATAAATGTATTTACACATTGTGTTTATGTGGTACCAAGGAATCAAACCCGGGGTGTCATCTAGGCAAGCCCTTTCCCACTAAGCCATGTTCCTTGCCCAGCAGTACTGCTTGGTAACAAACGTATTCTCATTAGTATGGTCACTCTCCATAGTCCTACCTGCAGACCCTGCCTACTCCAGGGGAGACCAGCCTTGGGCTGGGGCCAGAACCCAGGGCTTCTACCCTGCTAGGCATATTCTGCCCCAAGCCAAGCCCCTAGTCCTTTTCTGTTTGTTTTGCATTTGAGCAGGTTCTCATCACCTTTACCTGGACTGGCCTCACACTCCGGCCTTCCTGTCTCTCTATCTGGAGTAGCTACAATTACAGGCATGTGCCAGCACGTGCAGCCATAGCACGATTTCTGACCCCGGCATGGTGATTGTCACCAAAGTAGCCTGGCTGCTTTTCAGCAAGTAGGTGTGGTCACTGTATTCATAGCAAAGCAGGAATTTGCTCTTAAGAGAGCTGTGGGGTGATTTGGGTAGAGTGCAACTGCCACCTAGTGTCACTTTTGAGAATGACCAACAGTCAATATGGCATGGGGGTTCGTCTGTGAGTGACAAGTGGTCAGCAAAGCATGGGGGAGAGACTAAGAACATTTGGAATCCCACCAACACCATTCCAGAAACAAAGAGCAATGCCAGGCCCTGAGCTGACACAGAGTTCCACTCCTTTCCTCCATCTTCACACTCTGGAGAGGCACTGGATTATGTCCTTGGCACATCCACATTTCTTACGGATGAAGCTGGCATCAGAGCATGCTCTTTGGGGTGTGAGAGCCGGGCAGGCCCAGTGCAGAGCCTCGGGGGCTGCTCCCTGCAGACTAGACCTGAAGGAACCGGGAAGAGCGCATGCTGGGCTGGAGAGCTGGGCAGTAGCTAGGCTCACACAGGCTATGGAGAGGAGCGAGTGAAGGTAACAGAACAGAGACCCAGCTGGGCACTGGTGGCTCATGTCTGTCATCCTAGTTACTCAGGAGGCTGAGATCTGAGGATTGTGGCTCAAAGCCAGCCTGGGCAGGAAAGTCCATGAGACTCTTATCTCCAATGAACCACCAGAAAACTGGAAGTGGTGCTATAACTCAAGTGTTAGGACAATGTCCAGGCCCAGAGTTCAAGACCCATGACTGACAAGAAAGAAAGAAAGAAGGAAGGAACTGAGACCCAGTCCAGACACACCAACAAGGGTTCTGCCAGCACCACAGAGAATTAGAAATTAGCATCAAGACTTTCCAAGTTAGTGTTCATCGGCTAATACTGGAAGACCCAGAAAGATCAGCATGGTCCCTGCTCAAGGTAGACATGAGAACTCTAGAGTGCTCACTGTTCACTGGCTGGCCTAAGCGTTAGTGGGGTTTGACTTTGTTTGCCTGTCTTTTCCTGACACTTCATAGCAAATATAAATTAACTATGCACACGATAAATTTACTGAGTGCTAAAAGCCAAAAAAGATAGTGAACATTGCCATACATAGGAAGATTGTTAGATGTATTTGTATATTCCTATAGTACCTCGGTTGTGACTTTGTATTATACAAGCTTTCTCCTTGGGTGGGGGGGGGGTGGGGGGAGGCTGGGAAGGGATGGGAAGGGGAAACAAAAGAGGAGGCTACAATGCTTGATAAGAAATGTACTCATTATATTGCCCATGTAATTGTAACCCCTCTGTACAGTATTTTCACAATAAAAAATTTTTTAAAAAAGCTTTCTCCTTTGTTAACTACTCTGTTTTCTTAAAATCCTTGGGGAAGGGCCTCATGGCTCATGCCTTTAATCCTAGCTACTCAGAAGTCTGAGATCAGAGGATCAAGGTACCAAGCCAGCACTGGCAAGAAAGTCTGTGAGACTCTTATCACTAATTAAGCATCAAAAGAAGCCGGAAGTTGAACTGTGGCTCCTGTGGTAGAGTGCTAGCCTTGGGCAAAAAGCTCAGAGACAGCACTCAGGCCCTGAGTTCAAGACCCAGGACTAGCACACTGGCGAGCACATGTGTGCGCATGTGTGCACACACAGACACAGAATCTATTATTTTACAGCTGGAGATATAAGCCAGGTTCAGTATAATTGCCTAGAATACACCAGGTCCTCCTGGTCTAAATTCCCAACACTGAGGAAAAACTTGTATTTCTAGATTTATTTTTAATTATTATTGTCTACAGGCATTTAAAATAATAATAATTGTTTTTAGAATACTAGAGCCAACCATCAGCTTCATTTACCCTCTGAGGCTCTCGCAAGTAGCATTAGAAAGTGGTCAACTCTCCTTCCATTAGCATTACCAATATTTATACACTTATGCCACTTCTTGTATTTTTGTCCCTATCAGACATCAAATCTTCTGATTGATTTTATAAAAGATTATAGAACAGCCTGGACTAAAAAACTAAAATGTGTTAGTCCTCTTAGGTTAACACACTGCCTTAGCAGCTGAGTAACTCACCTGTATGTACAGCTCTGGAAGATGGAAGTCCAGCGACGGAAATGGCATCTAATCCAGGCTCCTCTTGGCTCCTCGCCACTTCCCGTTTTGTGCTATCTTGGCTCCCTCCGTACATGTTTTGTTTTTGTTTTTGCCAGGGCCTTGTGCTTCTTTGGCTGGCACTCTACCACTTGAGCTACCCCTCCAGTCTAGCTTTTTGCTGATTGTTATTGCTCAAGCCCAGGGCTGGCTCTCTACCAGTTAAGCCATGCCTCCAGCCCCCTCATAATTTTAACTTCGGAATAACGTATAGGAATACCCTGGAGCGCCTCCCCCGCCCCTCAGCCCCCCCCCCACACCCTGCTTCTCTCCTGTAGCTAGCCTGCACCCCCACAAGGGAAGACGGGGTCTGCCCAGCCCGGGCGGGGAGCTGTGGCGCCCAAGGCCTTCACCTTCTCTTGCTCTGGACCTTGGCATCAGGGCCTGGGGCTCGGCTGCGAACCTCTGCCTAGGCCACACTCGGGACCCTGCGCAGGCTGGCTTCGAACTCAGCCTCGGGAGGAGCGGGGATCCCGGCGGAGCGGCTCGGCCCGGCCTCCTTGAGGGGCTTTAATTCGCCTTCCGCAGAGGCGCGGACGCTACCGGAGGGCCCGCCAGGCCTCCGCGAGGCGGGCGGACCGACAGCCCTGACCGAGGGGACGAGCCCGGGCACCGAGCCCGGGCCGATCCGAGATGGGCAGCGGCCGCACGGGCGTGGGCAGCTCGGGCACTGCTCGCCTCGGTCCCAAAGCCTCCTTCCGGAGGACAGAACCGGAGACCGGGCCGCCCGCGGGCGAGGCGGTGCGGAGGTCCCGGTGAGGCCGGGCCGGGGCCTGGCCGGCGCGGAGGGGCCGGGCGCAGGGGCGGCAGGGCCCGCGGGGCAGCGGGGCACTGGCAGAACCGGACGCTGACAGACAGAACCGGACGCTGACAGACAGAACCGGACGCTGACAGACAGAACCGGACGCTGAAAGACAGAACCGGACGCTGACAGACAGAACCGGACGCTGACAGAACCGGACGCTGACAGAACCGGACGCTGACAGACAGAACCGGACGCTGACAGAACCGGACGCTGACAGAACCGGACGCTGACAGAACCGGACGCTGACAGACAGAACCGGATGCTGACAGACAGAACCGGACGCGCGGCGGGAGGAGGAAGGCTCCTGGGTCGCGGAGGGGCAGCCGCCCGCCCCGCCGCCCGCCCCGCCCCGCCGCCCCCGCCGCCCCGCCCCGCCGCCCCGCCGCCCGCCCGCCCCGCCCCGCCGCCCCGCCGCCCGCCCGCCCCGCCCCGCCGCCCCGCCCCGCCGCCCCGCCGCCCGCCCCGCCGCCCGCCCCGCCCCGCCGCCCCGCCGCCCCGCCCCGCCGCCCCGCCGCCCGCCCCGCCGCCCGCCCGCCCCGCCCCGCCGCCCCGCCGCCCGCCCGCCCCGCCGCCCGCCCCGCCGCCCGCCGCCCCGCCGCCCGCCCCGCCCGGCCGCCCCGCCGCCCCGCCCGCCCCGCCCCGCCGCCCCGCCGCCCGCCCCGCCCCGCCCCGCCGCCCCGCAGCCCCGCCGCCCGCCCCGCCGCCCCGCCGCCCGCCCCGCCGCCCCGCGCCTCTCCGCGGCCGCGCTCAGGAAGCGCGCTGACAGGCCTGGGGTGCGCGCCGCGCGGCCGGGAGGAAACGAGGGGTCCACAGCGGCGCCCCGCAGCGAGGCCGGGTCGCTCCGCCTGACCCGCGCGGGGACGCCGGGAGCGCAGGGCAGCGGGGCCCGCAGAGGACCGCGGCTGGATCTGCGCCCCGCCCCGGCCCCGCGAGCCACGCCCCGCGAGACCCGCCCCGCCCCCGCGAGCCACGCCCCCCGCGAGCCACGCCCCTGCCCCGCCTCCGCCTCCGCCTCCGCCTCTCGGCCGCGCCGGGCGGGGCCGCGGCCAACGCGCCGCCGCCGGAGCCGCCGCCGCCGCCGGAGCCGCCGCGGTGCTGCGGAGCGGGGCCCGGAGCGGGGCCGGAGCGGGGGCCGCGGCCTCCCTGCACCTCCTCCCGCCATGCGCCAGGGAAGCCCGGGGGGCCGGGCCCCCCTCGAGCCCGACCCCGACCCCGGGCCCCCGGCGCCCCCCAACCCCTTCGTGCACGAGCTGCGGCTCTCCCGCCTCCAGAGGGTGAAGGTGCGGGGCGGGCGGGGGCCGGGGCTCGCGGGCGGGCGGGCGCGGGGACGAGGCCGCGGGATGGAGCCGGCGCGGCAGCGCTGCGGGACTCGGAAGGCGGCTGTGGGCCGCAGCCCGCACGCGGCCCCGGCCGGGCCCAGGGCGCGGGCCTGCTGTGGGGGCCGGGCGGCCAGGTGCGCGGCGAGGCCGGCGAGGCCGGGGAGGCCCGAGCCCGCCGCTCCGCGTACGGCCCCCGCCCCGGCTCCCGGCAACCCCGTCCCGGTGGAGCGGCCCCCCGCATCGCCGGCTCCGGCGGCAGAGCCCCGAGGGTGCGGGGGCTGCGCGCGGCCGGAGCTCCCGCCGCACCCCAGGCTACCTCGACCTCCCCGGCGGGGCCGCCGCGGGCCGGCATCCCGTGACCTCTGTGACCTCGGGCGCGGGAGCTCCGGGCCGCCCCTCACGCGCGCCCGCCCCGCAGTTCTGCCTCCTGGGGCTGCTGCTCGCCCCGCTCCGCGTGCTCCTGGCCTTCGTCGTCCTCTTCCTCCTCTGGCCCTTCGCGTGGCTGCAGGTCGCGGGGCTGACGGAGGAGCAGCTGCGGGAGCCGATTACCGGGTGGAGGAAGTGAGTGGGGTCCCCGGACCCCCGCCTGCCCGGCGGGCGCGGGGTCCCGGGCGGGCATCCCATCCCACCCCACCCCACCCCCCACCCCGTCCCGGCTCGGCACGGCGCCTGGCGGGGAATCCGCCCCCTCCCCCCCCCCCCCGGCCCGCGCCGCCCACCCCCGGCCCGCCCCCCCCCTCCCCGCTCGGTGCGCCCCCCCTCCCCGGCCCGCGCCGCCCGCCCCCCGCCCGCCCCCCCCGGCCCGCGCCGCCCCCCCCCAGCCCGCCCCCCCCCCGCTCGGTGCGCCCCCCCCTCCCCGGCCCGCGCCGCCCCCCCCCCCCCGGCCCGCGCCGCCCCCCCCGGCCCGGGGCGCCCCCCCCCCCCCGGCCCGCCCCTCCCCGCTCGGTGCGCCCCCCCCCCCCGGCCCGTCCACCCCCCGGCCCGCGCCGCCCCCCCCCGGCCCGGGGCGCCCCCCCCCCGGCCCGCCCCTCCCCGCTCGGTGCGCCCCCCCCCCCCCCCCGGCCCGTCCACCCCCCGGCCCGCGCCGACCGCGCCCTCGCCCGCAGGACCCTGTGCCACAACGGGGTGCTGGGCCTGAGCCGCCTGCTCTTCTTCCTGCTGGGCTTCCTCCGCATCCGCGTGCGCGGCCGGCGCGCCTCCCGCCTGCAGGCCCCGGTGCTGGTGGCCGCCCCGCACTCCACCTTCTTCGACCCCATCGTCCTTCTGCCCTGCGACCTGCCCAAGGTGGTGTCGCGGGCCGAGAACCTGTCCGTGCCGGTCATTGGAGGTGAGAGCTCCCGCAGCACGGGAGCGGATGGCGGCCCGGCGGACCGGGGCGGGCTCAATCCGCGAGGAAGGGAAGGCTGCCAGACTGCTCTCACCCACCCTACCCCTTCCCCACCAGCCCTTCTGCGGTTCAACCAAGCCATCCTGGTGTCACGGCACGACCCGGCCTCCCGCCGCCGCGTAGTGGAGGAGGTCCGCAGGCGAGCCACCTCGGGAGGGAAGTGGCCTCAGGTGGGTAAGGCCTTGGGCCTCCCCTGGAGCCGAGTGCCTCCCCCTGCCCCCTCCCCCTGCGCACAGCGGGGCTCCCCTGCCCCCTCCCCCTGCGCACAGCGGGGCTCCCCTGCCCCCTCCCCCTGCGCACAGCGGGGCTCCCCTGCCCCCTCCCCCTGCCCCCTCCCCCTGCGCACAGCGGGGCTCCCCTGCCCCCCTCACCCTGCGCTTGGGTTTTCTTCCCAGGTTCTGTTCTTTCCTGAAGGCACGTGTTCCAACAAGAAGGCTTTGCTTAAGTTCAAACCAGGTACTGGAAAGGCTGGTGGGAGGGAAGGCTATGGGAAGGGAGCCTGGGCTCAGGGAGGAATAACGGGACCGTGGAAGGATAATAGGGTCCCAGGGAGAAAGAGGGACAGAGAACCCCTGCCTAGTGCTGACAATTGAGGAGTCAGAAAACTACAAATGGGAGTTGGGGATAGGTGGCTCATACCTGCAATCCTACCTACTGAGGAAGCTGCCACCTTAGGATCACAGTTCAGACCCAGCCCAAGCAGGAAAGTCCAATTAATCATGGAAAAAGCTGGAAGTGGCACTGTGGCTCAAGTAGGAGACCACTAATCTTGAGTAAAGGGGCTTAGGGACAACGCCCAGGCCCTGAGTTCAAGCCCCAGGACCAGCAGAAAAAGAAAGAAAAAGGAAAAAAAAAACTACAAATGAGTGGCATGCAGCCAGAATCCTGCTGTGAACTGCCCCTCACTCCTGCTGTGCATTCACCTCTGTCTGGGGTGGGGTGGGATAGGGGCCTTCATCGCAGGGGTGCCTGTGCAGCCTGTCCTCATCCGTTACCCCAACAGTGTGGTAAGTCTTAGTCCAAGAAAGCCTATAACGGAGGAGTATGTGCCCACACCAGTGGGAATAAGTGGGAGCCTTTGGGCCTCCCTGGGGGGGGGGGGTAGATGGTAATGCCCTGTCCCTGTGAGGGGGGTAAATGGTAATGCCCTGTCCCTGTGAGGGGGGGTAGATGGTAATGACCTGTCCCTGTGAGGGGGGTAGATGGGTAATGTCCTGTCCCTGTGAGGGGGGGTAGATGGTAATGTCCTGTCCCTGTGAGGGGGGTAGATGGTAATGACCTGTTCCTGTGAGGAGGATAGATGGTAATGACCTGTCCCTGTGAGGGGGGTATAGATGGTAATGACCTGTTCCTGTGAGGGGGGTAGATGGTAATGACCTGTCCCTGTGAGGGGGGTATAGATGGTAATGACCTGTCCCTGTGAGGGGGGTATAGATGGTAATGACCTGTCCCTGTGAGGGGGGTAGATGGTAATGTCCTGTCCCTGTGAGGGGGGGTAGATGGTAATGTCCTGTCCCTGTGAGGGGGGGTAGATGGTAATGTCCTGTCCCTGTGAGGGGGGTATAGATGGTAATGTCCTGTCCCTGTGAGGGGGGGTAGATGGTAATGTCCTGTCCCTGTGAGGGGGGGGGGTAAATGGTAATGACCTGTCCCTGTGAGGGGGGGTAGATGGTAATGTCCTGTCCCTGTGAGGGGGGGTAGATGGTAATGACCTGTCCCTGTGAGGGGGGGTAGATGGTAATGACCTGTCCCTGTGAGGGGGGTAGATGGGTAATGTCCTGTCCCTGTGAGGGGGGGTAGATGGTAATGTCCTGTCCCTGTGAGGGGGGTAGATGGTAATGACCTGTTCCTGTGAGGAGGATAGATGGTAATGCCCTGTCCCTGTGAGGGGGGTATAGATGGTAATGCCCTGTCCCTGTGAGGGGGGGTAGATGGTAATGACCTGTCCCTGTGAGGGGGGTAGATGGGTAATGTCCTGTCCCTGTGAGGGGGGGTAGATGGTAATGTCCTGTCCCTGTGAGGGGGGTAGATGGTAATGACCTGTTCCTGTGAGGAGGATAGATGGTAATGACCTGTCCCTGTGAGGGGGGTATAGATGGTAATGACCTGTTCCTGTGAGGGGGGTAGATGGTAATGACCTGTCCCTGTGAGGGGGGTATAGATGGTAATGACCTGTCCCTGTGAGGGGGGTATAGATGGTAATGACCTGTCCCTGTGAGGGGGGTAGATGGTAATGTCCTGTCCCTGTGAGGGGGGGTAGATGGTAATGTCCTGTCCCTGTGAGGGGGGGTAGATGGTAATGTCCTGTCCCTGTGAGGGGGGTATAGATGGTAATGTCCTGTCCCTGTGAGGGGGGGTAGATGGTAATGTCCTGTCCCTGTGAGGGGGGGGGGTAAATGGTAATGACCTGTCCCTGTGAGGGGGGGTAGATGGTAATGTCCTGTCCCTGTGAGGGGGGGTAGATGGTAATGACCTGTCCCTGTGAGGGGGGGTAGATGGTAATGACCTGTCCCTGTGAGGGGGGTAGATGGTAATGACCTGTCCCTGAGGGGGGGTAGATGGTAATGTCCTGTCCCTGTGAGGGGGATAGATGGTAATGACCTGTCCCTGTGAGGGGGGTAGATGGTAATGACCTGTCCCTGTGAGGGGGGTAGATGGTAATGACCTGTCCCTGTGAGGGGGGTAGATGGTAATGCCCTGTCCCTGTGAGGGGGGTAGATGGTAATGACCTGTCCCTGTGAGGGGGGGTAGATGGTAATGACCTGTCCCTGTGAGGGGGGTAGATGGTAATTCCTGTCCTTGTGAGGGGGGGTAGATGGTAATGTCCTGTCCCTGTGAGGGGGGGTAGATGGTAATGCCCTGTCCCTGTGAGGGGGGGTAGATGGGTAATGCCCTGTCCCTGTGAGGGGGGGTAGATGGTAATGCCCTGTCCCTGAGGGGGGGGGTGCAGGGGGTGGGGGGGTATAGATGGATAATGAACTGTGTCCCCCACCCCTCCCTCTGTTTTTCCCCTAGGACACCACCAGCTGGGCATGGAGAGGCCCCGGAGTGTGAGTTCTGGGTCCTGAGTGAGGTTGGGCAGCGAGGTCCATCAGAGAACTCCTCGCCCAAATTCTGATATGCAGAAGGGATACATGGTCTTTCTCAGGGCAGGACGGAGCGGCCTCTGGTGGAGAAGCCCATTTCCCAATGATCTAGCACAGCCTGGCTCTCCGCCCGCCGCTCCTACTGCAGCCATGGCTTCTCCACGCTCCCTGTGTGGCGTACCCTCGGCTGCCCCTTTGGGAAAGCCACCAGCCTTGGCAAGCCTTGGCTCTTTGCCCTCCCTCTGCTGTACCCCTGCTACACTTCCCTCTTTCCACACTTCTGGCCTTTCTCAAAGTCTCCCAAGTGTGTGTGCACTCAACATGGCCAGGAATGTGGCTAGGGTCCACGTTTGAATCATGGGCAGAACTTCTACTGTCTCTTAGAACAGGAAGAGCCCATGCTTAGAGAAGGGGCACATGACAGTCTGTCCCCCGCTTAGTGGCTGGTGAACATGGTGGTCTGTCTCCTCTTAGACTCAAAGTCCTCTGGCTCACAGCAGCCCAGCCCTGCAGCTTCGTGGATGTGGAGGTAGGACCGTGGTTGTGGGGTGGGAGAAGGGCGTCACAGGTCCCCAGCGCTTCGGGGAATGCGGGGGTGGGCACTCATCTTGCAGGTTCTATTTCAGTTCCTCCCCGTGTACCAGCCCAGCCCCGAGGAGAGCAGAGACCCCACCCTGTATGCCAACAATGTCCAGAGGGTCATGGCACAGTGAGTGCACCACAGAGCGTTTCCTGGAGCCGACAAAAGGCCAGAGAGCAAAGATAAGGCAGGAGAAGGAGGGGGCGGGGGAGGGGACCACTGAAACGGAGGAGAGAAAGGTAAAGGTGCCTGAGCTGTCCTCGGACGGCCTGAGCCTCTGATGCATACTCAGAAGCGTCTTCTGCTCCCTTCCTGTCTCCATTCTTTGTCTTCTAGAGCTCTGGGCATTCCAGCCACTGAATGTGAGTTTGTAGGAAGCTTGCCTGTGGTTGTGGTAGGTCGGCTGAAGGTAGCATTGGAGCCACAGCTCTGGGAACTGGGCAAGGTGCTTCGGAAGGCTGGGTAAGTGGCTTCAGAGATGAGGGCATCACAAATTGAGAACATAAGTGGAGGGAGGGTGCGAAGTAGAAGAAGGAAATTCTTTATTATTACTTTATTGTTGTTTTAGCGGTGATATACAGCAGGGTTAAAAAAGGGGGGGGGGCAGCCATGCTAAAGCTACCAGCACAACTATGTTTGTTACAGCATTATTTACCATAGCTAAAATATGGAACCAACCCAGATGCCCCTCAGTAGAGGAATGGATCAAGAAAATGTGGTATATATACACAATGGAATTCTATGCCTCCATCAGAAAGAATGACATTGCCGCATTTGTTACGAAATGGAAAGACTTGAAAAAATTATATTAAGTGAAGTAAGCCAGGCCCAAGGAAACATAGGTCCCATGGTTTCCCTTATTTGCAATTACTAGTATATGTCTGAGACAAGCAGAAAAAGTCAGATAAGTTGATGTTAGGTGAAATGAACCCCAAGATAAGGATTCAAATGTTTTTTTCTTTCTTGCGATTGTTTCTAACACATTTATAAGATGATTTCTTTGTTGCTTTCTATGTCCCTCCCCCATGATATAACCCCTGTTTTCACTGTATTTGATGTTGGTATACTTTGTGGAGGAGAAGGGGAAAAAAAATTGTTTAAATAGGGATACAGGTGGACCCATTGCAACAATGAGATGTACAAGACGTTATGTAGAAAAATGAACTTTACAACTTTGGCCTGGGGGGGGGGGGGCGCTGGGAAGGTAGCTCAGTGGTAAAGTGCTTGCCTTGCATGTCTGAGGCCCTGGGTTCGATTCCTTAGCACCACATAAACAAAAAGAAAAAAGCCGGAAGTGGCGCTGTGGCTCAAGTGGTAGAGTGCTAGCCTTGAGCTGAAGAGCTGAGGGACAGCGCCCAGGCCCAGAGTTCAAGCCCCATGACGGAGAAAGGAAGGAAGGAAGAAAGAAAGGACATTCACTAGTTGGTGAATAATCCGATACTTGGAGGTACTGGCAAGAGGACTGCAGTTCAAGTCCAAACTACAAAGTTATCCAAGACCTATCTCAAAAGCCAAATACAAATAAAAGGACTCTGGCTCAAATGGTAGAGTGCCTGCTAGCATGCACAGTCCCCATACCAAAACAAAAAGAGCAGGAAAATGAAGGGTGTGCCGTGTAGGGAAGAAGAGTGCAAAGGGGGGGCTCAGCATTCTCTCAGAGATGCAGCCGTTGAGAGGCTGGGGAGGGGCTTGGTGCTCGTCCAGCCTTGGTGAAGCTCTGGGTTCTATCCCCAGCACCACCACGGGAAAAACTAAACTAGGCAGCTAAACCTATGCCCTGTTTATCCTGGTGTGGTGCCAGGGCCCTGTTGTGCGGGGCATCTGGAGGACACTGAGCTCTGAGCCTTCAACTCCTGCCTTGCAGGCTGTCCCCTGGCTGTGTGGATGCGGGAGCAGAGCCGGGCAGGAGCCGGATGATCAGCCAGGGGGAGTTCGCCAGGCAGCTGCAGCTCTCGGACCCCCAGACAGTGGCTGGTGCCTTCAGCTACTTCCAGCAGGTAAAGAGAGCAGAGCGGAGCTCAGAGCCAGGACGCACTCCAGGCTAGCCTGCCTCTGAGTTCCCTGGCATCCTGTTGGCCACCCAGCCGAGTGTGTGCTAGACAGCTGCTCCACATATCCCGAGCACTGTGATCACAGAGGAGGAAAAGGGAAGGGCCCATCAGTGAACCCCATCAGTTTCTGATGCCACTTTAGGGACTGGCAAAGCTGAGAACTTGGAGAGGTGTAGGACACAGAATGAGTCTCAGGAGTCAGGTGGGCGAGGTGGGGGAGTGGTGTGGAAGAATCACTTCTGCACCGGTTAGACCTGGAGAATGGGAGACCCACAAGGATGTGCAATACTTGGGCAGATTTCTTTTTTGCATATTCTGTAGCTTCTCTAAGCGATTTCCTCAGCTGACTCAAGAATCTTGGCACACTGTATTTCCTGTGATGTAACTGTATTTCCCAGGTTAAGTATAATGTATAATTCTTGTTATTTTTTGTTTTTTCTTTCTTTTGGAAGGAGGGTTCTCATGATGCCCAGGCTAGTGTACAGTCTGAGGCTCAGGGTCTTCCTACCTCAGCCTGCTGAGGTGCTGAGACTACAGGCATAGTCTACACCACCAACTAGAAGATGACCGTTAAAGGTTGTAACAGCCAGCATTAGTTACAGGGCGTTTCCTCCTCCACTCTCCTAGGGCCAGGGACCAAACCCAGGACCTCGAACATGTTAAGTGTTGCACCACTGAGCTATTCCCTAGTCTTCCTAAAGGCACTTTTCTCAAGATGCATTGTGGCTGTCAACATCCTCTCAAGGATGCTAGAGAGATACAGTGCATCCTGATGCACTCACACCAGTAATCCCAGGAGAGATCTGATGCTTGTGTATGGGTGCATATGTGTGCATGTACACACACACACACACACATCTACACCTGTAATCCCAACACTTGAAGGAATGTCAAGTTAGAGGCCCAGACTGGGCTGCATAAAACCTGCTCCAGAGCAGCAGTGTGGAGTCCTTGGGCAGCCGGTACAACATGAATCCCACTGGAATTTGAATTTTCTATAAGAAATTAGGCCATTGTCCCCCCCCCCCCCACCTCCTTTTGCTGGACCAGTTCTCCCACAGAGGCTGTTGTGAGAGAACCAGTCTGTCCAGCTTAGGGACCAGAAATGCCCTCCTCTGGTATGTCAGAAACCTGATGGTAACTTCAGAATTCCCCAGGACTGGGTTCTGAGCAGAGTGGTCACAAGGTCACGCCTGGTGAGAGGAGCCGCCGAGAGAGACCACAAGGGAAGAGGAGGTTTTGAGGCTCCCTGGTAACTGGTTTTCCTTTGACCCTGCAGGATGCCAAGGGTTTGGTGGACTTCCGAAATGTGGCTTTGGCACTAGCGGCTCTGGACGGTGGCAGGAGCCTGGAGGAGCTGACTCGTCTGGCCTTCGAGGTACCCGGGGTCAGTGGACGTCCACCCCAGACATCTGTGGGGTGTCATTCCCCGTGGCTGTAGTCAGCAGCGTCTCATGTCCTGCCAGTGCCACGCAGCCTTCGGTTGCACCCAGCATCGCTGTGTGGAGGCGGAGGTGGGAACCAGCAGGTGGAAGCTAGGAAGCTTCCAGTTCTCCTGCAGAGAAGGGCCCACAGGTCCGAGCGTGCCAGTGGAAGAGTAGGAGCCTGTGGAGGCCTGTGCACCTGACTGGCATCCCTGTCTTGCCCAAGCTGTTTGCTGAGGAGCAGGCAGAGGGATCTGGTCGCCTGCTGTGTAAAGACGGCTTCAGCACCATCCTGCACCTGCTGTTGGGCTCACCCCACCCTGCTGCTGCCATGCTGCACGCTGAGCTCTGCCGGCCAGGACCCAGCCGAGGCCTCTCCCTCTGTGAGTTGCTGCTCAGCCATGGGAAGCAGAAAGTACCAGGTTAGGAGGGAGCAAGGCTGAGGCCTGTGCCAGGGCCAGGGTCTCTACGAGATAAATTTGGAAAAGAGGTAGAACACAAACCTGGACTTGAGAAGGCAGACAGCTGGGAGGAGCCAGGCTCTGTCTGAAAGGGCAGTCGTCCTTTTCTTCACTCTTGGGCCCTTTTACCTCTTTTCTCACTCTTTATCCAGATGAGTTCCAGAAGTTTTCCCTTCACGACCCTCTCTATGGGAAGCTCTTCAGTACCTACCTGCGCCCCCCCCACAAGCCTCACAGCATCTCCCAGATACCAAACGCCTTGACCCCGGGCAGCCCCACGGCGCTGGCCAACGGGACTCTGCAAGCACCCAAGCCCAAGGGCGACTGATCGCCTGGGCCTCTCCCATGTGCCCCGGCCTTCCCTCCTCCCCCCCGTGCCTGGGCCTCCCCCATGCGCCCCGGCCTTCCCTCCCCCCCCCCCCCCATGCCTGGGCCTCCCCCATGCGCCCCGGCCTTCCCCCCCCCCCCCCCCCCCCCCCCGTGCCTGGGCCTCCCCCATGCACCCCGGCCTTCCCTTCCTTCCCCCCCCCCCCCCCCCCCCCCCCCCCCCCCCCCCGTGCCTGGGCCTCCCCCATGCGCCTGGGCCTGCCCCGAGTGCCCGTGCCTCCCCCCACCTCGCGTGTGCGCCTGGGCCTCTCGCGCCTCCTCCCTCAGCTCAGATCCAGCCCCGCACTCAGGACAGCGCTGGGGACCGCCCTACGCCTCAGTCCCATCTCTGCTCTGGTTTGCTTTTCGTTATCAATGTTTATTTTAAGTTGGTTTTAATTTTTGTAAGAAACTATTTTATATATAAATATATATATATTTAAAAAATGGGTTCAGTGACATTGATATTAGTTTGGAAGGAAAGGAATGAACAGCTGTGGGGTGCTCAGTGGAGATCTGAGAAAGTTCCAGAGGCCAGTGTCAGGCAACTGCAGGGTGAGTTCTCTGCTCTGGGATGGAAAGCCTGCTTTCCTGTATAGATATTGCAGAGGCCTCTCTCCTCCCAGTACAGCTTCCCCATGAACCTTCAGCCCATCCCTTGTTCTGTTCCCAGTAAAGATTGAAAAACAGCTTACTGCCGTTCCATGGAGAGAGTTCCCCTGACACACTGTGAGCTGAGGGCAAGCACTCCTCCCTGCCTAACCTCTTCAGCAAAGAAATGGCCCCTGAAGGGGCTATGTCTGGACACACATCAAGAGCTGATTTGCTTGAGGAAATTAGATGTCTGCTTAGAGATGTGACAGGTCAAAAAGCACCTTCCCCTTTCTAGAGTCATAGGGAACTCCTCAGCAGTACGTCCTCATGTGGCAAAGAAGGGATTAAAAAAAAAAGACCTTTGGGCACAGCATGAAAGCTAGTTGCCAGCCCAGAGGATGCTGCAGGAACCAGGACCGGGCCTGGGGGCGACAGTTTCTTCATCCATAGAATCTGTAACTACCCTGTCTGCTTTCATAGGATCCTGCCCAGTGCAGCAAACACTCAAAAGGACACAGCGAGAACAATCCAAAAGAAAAATCCTTTATGATCTTTTTTCACACAGCTCCTTCCAAAAGTCCTTCCCCCTTCCAACTACAGGAACCAGTCACAACCAACCTAGCCAGTCTGGCCTCCCACCAGGCTCCCTAGCACAGCCGTGCAGCCCGGGACCCACAGGGCTTCTCAGGCGGCAAACAGCAGCGGTGAAATCCCTAGGGCAGCCGCCCTTGGGGACTGGCAGGTGGGGTAAGACGGTCCTGTTTACACCTGGCTACGGCGCCGCTTCTTTCTTCTGCCAGTGGCGTGACTGTCGCCCCGCCTTTTCCGAGGTGGTGAAGGCTGTGCCGGGGGTTTCTCCCCACGGGCTCCAAGTTGAATTCCTGGCTGGGGTCTCCTCACAGCTGAGGCTGACCCTCCGGCCAGGCCTTGCTTCTCAGACATGGTGGCAGGGCGTGGGAGCTGGCCCAGGCCCCTAGCCTCGGCCGAGAGCTGGGATGTTGTCTGGATGCCATGACCTCCAGAGGCTGGTTGAGTACCGAGGGGACGCCCCCGTGGAGACAGGCTGAGTTTCGAGGCCAAGAGGTAAGCGAAGTTGGAGAGTTGCTCATCCTCTCCCTCCTCTTCCTCCTCCTCTTCCTCCCTGCCCTTGGCCCCATCCAGTGAGTCACGTGTTTCACTAATACAGATCCCTCTCAGAGCTAACGCCTCCCCGCCTTCCCACCTCGGGGAAGTGCTCCCAGGACTAGGGAGTGGTGGGGAGCTGAGAGTCCTGGGCACATAGGGCTCTAGACTGTCTTGTAAAAGAACAAGGTCATCACACTTGGACAGGCAGCTGTCTTCCCTCCTCTCTTCTTGGAAGTCATAAGAATCAAAATCCTTGCTGCCCCTTAATTGGAGGCCACAGTAATCTGAGACATCTAGAGTGCTGACATGCTCCACGGTTTCCAGCAGAGGAGAGAAGGGGTTGCCTCTGCTCTCCGAGTCCTGGCTGGGCATCTGAGGGAGGAAGGCATCCGGGGTCCCCACAATGAACAGACTGTCGTGGTATGCAGACAGCAGGGCATCTTTGGAAGGCTCCAGGGAGGAGACGTCAGTGCTCTCCAGCAGCGGGGAGCAACTGTCAGCCCACAGGTCACTGGGGTCCTGGAGAGTCTCAAGGCTCTGGTCCTTATCTTCTTTGGGCATCAAATCCAGGCGGTTGTCCACCAGTGGTTCTGGTGAGCTGCAGCCATTGCTCTTTTCTATGGCAGCTGTGGCATCTGCACCCCGCCTGGGAGCCACAGCACACCCTGCCTCCCCGGGTGCTGTGGTTTCTCCGTGAGCCAAAGGGAAGCTGCCTGTGGACTCTCGTGCTGGGTGCTCAACTATACACGCCCCATCTTGGAAGCTCCCTATGACCTCTTCCATTTGGAAGCCTACCGTATCTACCTCACTGCTCAGCCAAAGTCCTGGGCTGAGAGCCCTTTCCTGGTCCCTGGCTACTCCAGGGGGAGGCTTCTGGTCATAATCCTTCCACATGGCTCCTGAAGAGCCTTCCTGAGATACTGCTAAAGCCGCTGTCCTTCGAGGAGGTTCACGAGGTGGCTCCATCTGCTGTCCTGTCTGCAGGCCCAGCACATGCTTTTCTAACCCCTGTCCTTGCACAGCAGTGGGTGCTGTGAGCCCGAGATCCACACTGGGGACTCTTGCAGGACAGGGCCCCTCCTGCCAGCAAACAGGCAACGCCTCTGAAGTCCTGCCAGCCCTCAGGCAGGGCCCAAGGGACTTGCCCTCTCCCTGGTGGCCATCCTGAGGCGGAGGTAGTTGGCTTACAACCTCGCTGGACCCTCTTCCCTCCACACCCGAGGCGGGCCGCACCCCCTGTGAAGCTGCAAGTCCTGGCTGTGGCTTCCAGCCACAGGGGGGTGGGGTGTTCTCACCCCCACGCACTCCCCTGGGTCCACTTCGGGTTCGCTCCTGCCTACCAGGCTTTTCTCTTGCCTGCTTGCCTGAAGAAGCAACCTTTCCGGAGCGAACGGTGCCCGCAGCTGCCCGTGGCCCTGATGAGGGCCGAGGCCACCCACCCCCATCTTCATCCTCATCAGAAACAGAAGGACTCGAGTCCGACAGAGCTCCACTGCAACTTGGAGGTGCCTGTGCATCTTCCTCTTCTAAAGCAGAGAGGCGCTTCTGGACCAGCTGGAAGAGAGCAGAGGACACCAGCTCTACATGTGTTTGTGAGAAGGGGCTGAGTGGGTGGTAGGAGATGGCATATGGGCAGGGCAGGGCAGAAAAGAAAGTGGTCTAAGTGATACTATCACAGAGAGATGGCAGCTCTTCCTGTTTTGTTCTGTTCCCGGTGGGCAGTTTGAATGCAGGGCCCTTGTGCGGGCTAGGCTGGCATTGTACTGCTGAGCACGCCTCAGTCTTAGTTTTAAAGGTATTGCAGCACAGTTATTGCTCCTCAAGCTGCAGACTGATGGCCACTGCCTGCCTACTTGCAGGCAGGTCCCATTCGCGCTGGGATGGCAGGCAAGAGCCACTGAGTCCATTCTTTTCCACGGAGATAGTCTTGTGGACTTTTCTCCTCTGGCTGACCCAACACCATCATCTTCTGCATCTCAGCCTCCTGCATGGCTCAAGACGTCAGGCACGCTCCGCTGTGCCCAAATGGGTTGAGAAGGGAGTCTCACGAACCTTTTCAAGTCTCATCCTTCCACGTAGCTACAAGCCGGGGTGCTCACCTGTCTCCCTGTCTTTTTGTGACTTGAGCCATTGAGTTTATACCGAATCATCTTCAGGAAAGAACTGAAGGAGTTACTGGAACTGTTCCTCTAGAGCCACACCATATAGACCAGACAGGGCTGGACAAAACCATGCGAGCTGCTTTTCTGCTGCTTACCTGGGCAATTGTGAGCCCTTCCTCTTGCTCCAGCTCCTCAGTTAAGGCCAAAGGATCCCTCTGTTGTTCTGGGGACAGCAGGTCTGCCAGAAATTGAGGGTGGATAACAGCCTCCACCTGGGGACAGAAGGGAGAGTGGTGTACCTCTTCACAGATGACCTCTGAGTAAAGGCCTCCAGAGATGGCCCCGGATGCACACCCTATCCCCACCCTGGAGCTCATCCACCATGACTACCAACAGCTACTAAGTGTGCACCAACCCATTTCTCAGTTCCAGAATGCACCCTACTGCTGCCCACCGAGCACAACTCCCAAGGACAGCAAGAGAGCAGCTGTGAGGGCCCAGCCCACCTTGGAGACAAAGACCTCCTGAGAACACAGTTCGTCCATGTAGCTGAGGAGGCTCGCATCAGGATATATTCCTTCATCCTGCTGTCCTTCCTCTTTGTGTCTTCCACCCGACTCCCCATTGTCAGAGTGGCTTCCCACCAGCCCTTCCATGATGTCCATGTACTCTTTTACAGCTTCTGGTGGGATCTCCTTGGGTGCCTCGGGAGCTGGAGGCCTCTGGGGTCTGCGCTGCCGCCGGCGGGGAGCCCGAGTCTTAGAGGCAGCCTTCTTTGGGATGTACACTGAGGGCAGAGAACAGAAGCCTTTGCTTCTACCTCCTATCTCTGCTCGTAGGAGCAGCAATCTGGTTACAGAGAAACAGGTCCTGCTATATCAAACTGTCATGAGGAAGGGGCTGGGAAGGTGGCTCAGTGGTAGAGTGCTTGCCTTGCATGCATGAGGTCCTGGGTTCAATTCCTCAGCACTACATAAGCAGAAAAAGCCAGAAGTGGCGCTGTAGCTCAAGTGGTAGAGCGCTAGCCTAGAGCTGAGGGACAACACCCAGGCCCAGAGCTCAGGCCCCACAACTGACAAAAAAAAACTGTCATAAGGAAGTGCCATCATGGATGTAAAGCTGAAGTGTGTCACAAGGTCACACACCATCTCCACACACTGCATTTCCAAGAAACCCCACCTTCATAGGCAGGCGAGACAGGAGGGCCTCCTAA